CATTCTCAGTCCATGGCCCTTCGCCAAGTGGGGGATTGACCTGATCGGGCCATTACATCCTGCACCTGGGGGGTTGAAATTCGCGATCGTTGCGGTAGACTATTACACGAAGTGGGCAGAGGCCAAGGCCCTAACCACTACCACGGAAGCAGCCTGCACCAAATTCATGTGGGACCACATCGTATGCAGGTTTGGGGTTCCTCACTCGATAGTATCCGACAACGGGAAGCAATTTGACAACGCCGCGACACGCAGATTTTGCGACGGTTTGGGCATCCGAAAAGACTTCTCGGCACCAATCCATCCACAGTCAAATGGGCAAGTCGAGGCCATCAATAAAATTCTCAAGTATACCCTAAAGAAGAGACTCGATGACCTAAAAGGGAGATGGGCCGAGGAGCTTTCCAAGGTTTTATGGGCATATAGAACAACAAGCCGAACTACGACAGGAGAAACGCCTTTTCTCCATGGCTACGGCGTCGAGACGGTACTCCCCGTAGAAATTGAAACGCCAACCCTAAGAACTGTTGTCCACAACGACGAGGATAACGCGGAGGGCATGAACGGAGAACTCGATTTACTGGAAGAAAAGCGACTCAACTCCCAATTACGTCTCGTCGCTTATCAGCAACGGACGGCACGATATTATAATAAGAAAGTCCGGCAAAGAAGGTTCACCCCAGGAGACCTAGTGTTAAAAAGGGTGACACAAAGCACAAAACCCAAGAATACTGGTCCCTTGGGCCTGACTTGGGAAGGACCCCTATCGCATAAGGAAAGTACTACGACCTGGCACTTACGTATTAGAAAACCTCGACGGCAAAAAGGTTCAACACCCGTGGAATGCTGAGCAACTAAAGTTGTATTACCAATAATGTATGAAGTTGTTATGCGTTTTTAATTATACATTCTTTACAAATATTGTAAATTTATATATTTTCAGCGTGAGATAGATTGACCCCTTAATAACGTGTCTGCTTAAAAGAAAACTCAAGGGTGTATTTATCAGACGCAGGGGGAATGAAGACGCTCGACGTCAAATCCTCCAAGGAGGAAAGACAAAACACTTAGTGAAATTCTAAAGAATTTCCTAAGACGACGACCCAAAGGGATAAGCTCGACGTCAAATCCTCCAAGGAGGAAAGACAAAACACTTGGTGAAATTCTAAGGAATTTCCTAAGACGACGACCCAAAGGGATTAGCTCGGCGTCAAATCCTCCAAGGACAAAGACGGCACTTAGTAAATTCCAATGAATTTTTGAAAGAGAAACAGGAAGGAAATCAATGATTATGAATCAAGATATGAACATAACCCATTGCCTTTATATAGAAATACGGGTAACATAAAAATTGTCTGAAAGCAAAAAAAAAAAAAAATGGGGTGATAGAAGATAGCTCCTAAGCATCGTCGCCACAATCCGTTGGCTCCTCGTCGGCACCACCCGCTGGCTCCTCGCCGCCGCCAACGAAGGGAGCGTTCTCTTCATCGCCACCAGGAGGGGGCACTTCCTCGTCGCCGGCAGGAGGAGGCGAGTTGTAGAGGAAGCCCAAGTCCCAATCAGGATTCTCTTTTTTTATCAGATCAACAATTTGCTGACCCGCCGACTGGAAATCATTATTGCGGATGTCAAAGAGCTCTTGAGAAGCCTTGAATTCCTCAATGATCCGCGCCCGTCTGGCGTTGAAGGTTGCCTCGGCCTCCATCTTCCCGTCGATCTTCCCCTCAGAATACCGACTCTCGGCATCCACGATCGCCTCGGCCAGTTTCTTTTCAGATTGATCAGCCCGTCGAGTAAGCTTTGTGACTTCAGCCTTCAACTTGGTTACTTCGCTGTCCAGGCTTATCAGTTGGGCCTTCGCCAAATCCCTCTCCTCGATGGCATCATCCCTGCTCTTCTTGGCCTCATCGACGAGCGACTGAAGCTTGGCCTCTAAATCGTCCATCTCATCCTTTCGCTCCTCGACCTTGATTAGGTCAAGGAGGTTAAGAAGGGAAAGGACGAGGCTCTGGAAAATGGAGGATATTTGCTTGCGTTAGCGGTCGACTATGGAAGACTGGGATGCAGCGACCCAATGAGGCTCGAGGAACGACTCGTATAAGGCCTGGAAGATGAGGGAAAAGCGAGGGGGGAGTTTTAGCATCGCCCCGACCTCGGCGTCAGAAATATCCGAAACTTGGAAGTTCGCATCCGTAATCTTCCCCCACGGGATCAGTATGCGTTCTCTTGGTCCCGGGGGTGCACGGACATCAGGAATGGGCACTACCGGTGTCCAGGTCTTATCAGTCGACGCGTAGCTAGGGGTCGGCTCCTCAGTACGCCTCCTCTTGTGCTTGCTCTTTTTGCCTTTCGGTGCAGGGCAGGAAGAGCCGGCCTTCTCCTTCCCCTTCGCTGAAGGCTGTTGGCCTGACGGGGGCCGCGGGACAGACGGCGGCTGTTGGTTCGGCACCTGTTGTTGGCTTGGCGCTGGCCGTTGGCCCCCAGGAAGCTGGATTCTCAAAGATGCCATCTCTAGCAAGAAAGAGAGGGTACCGTCAGCATTAGGAAAATACGATTCTTAATTCAACAAGGCGTCGAGAGAAGTCATTACCTTCGTCGCTTAAATGGAAATATGAACGAACGGCGTCGAGATCCGAAGGGTTTGGAAGGTCGAGAATTAGGCCCGCAGTACGAAGGTTCTCCTTGCTCAAGAGCGTGTCGATGTGACGAACCTCCGACGAGTAGGAAAAAGCTTCTGCGATCCTCGCCAAGCTGTTTCCAGAAAACTTTGGCCGATCCTGGTTAACTGCAACACAGAGGACTCCTCGTCAACATGTGAAAAGGGGGATCAGGTCAGATAAAGAGAGAATTGAGGGGCTTACTCATATTCCCAAACGCTGCCTGCACCTACCTTTGGCGGGGCTGGCGGTCGTTGGGATGGAAGTTAAAAGGCCCATGGATCATGAAATACATGGGCTTCCACCCATGTGACGATGAGGGGATGCCCAGAATAAGCTTTCCAAACCTAGGCTGAGCCCTCCCATGGCCACTCAGAAAATACCACCCATCGTACTTGGCGACGTGGCACAACTTGTACATGAATCGGAACTCGTCCAGTGGGAGTTCCATGTCAAACTTCTGGTTCCATAGAATTCAGGCTCCCGCAAAGCAGTACCAAAAGTTCGGCGCCAATTGGGCAGGAGAAATGCCGTAAAAGTGGCAATAATCTTTTACGAAGGGATAAATTGGGATAGTCATCCCTGCAGTTACCGCTCTTGTGTAGACCGGAAGGTATCCGGTCGGCGGCATACTGGTCCTAAAATGCTTATCGGGGAGGAGGTACTCGAGCCGCCTCCCGTCAATACATCCCTCCTTCACAGCCCGAATGATATCCTTATTTCGGACCTTCGACGCCACATCGTCGGCTGTAAAGGAGGGCCTATCTGGGTCTCCGCTCGTGGAAGCCAGGGGGCATCCACCGTCGCAGCGGCTACTCCGCTTACGTTCCCCCCTGTAAAAGGGATCCGCTCAACCACTTCGTCTATCATTCGGTCGACGCTACCGAATTCACTGCCGAGATCGTCGCCCGGCTCAAAACTTCCCTCGACATCCTCGATATCCCTCAGCACAGAGCTGACACCGGAAGACGAAGAGGTCCATGAGATCTCTACCACCGAAGGAGGGTCAGAACGGACGACAGAAAGAGAATCCTCTCGACTGGGTGAACTTTGGGCCATTGTTCTGGTAATAACAAGGACAAAAAGCTAAGTTAAAACCCTAACATCGAGAGGAATAAACGGTGACTACTCTAAACGATGACTGGTTAAACGTCGACCATTCATACAAGAATGGTAACGACG